GACCTGGTTTAGTCCTGGTTTAGACCTGATTTAGACCTGGTTTAGTCCTGGTGTTAGTTCTGGTTTAGTCCTCATTTAGACCTGATTTAGACGTGGTTTAGTCTTGGTTTAGTCCTGGTTTTAGACCTGGTTTAGTCCTGGTTTAGTCCTGGTTTTAGACCTGGTTTACTCCTGGTGTTAGTCCTGATTTAGTCCTGGTTTTAGACCTGGTTTAGTCCTGGTTTAGTCCTGGTTTTAGACCTGGTTTACTCCTGTCTTTAGTTCTGGTTTAGTCCTGGTGTTAGTTTTGGTTTAGACCTGGCTTAATCCTGTTTTTAGTCCTGTTTTTAGTTCTGACTTTAGTTCTGGCTTTAGTCCTGATTTAGTCCTGGTTTTAGTTCTGGTTTAGTCCTCATTTAGACCTGATTTAGACGTGGTTTAGTCCTGGTTTAGTCCTGGTTTTAGACCTGGTTTAGTCCTGGTTTAGTCTTGGTTTTAGACCTAGTTTACTCCTGGTGTTAGTCCTGATTTAGTCCTGGTTTTAGACCTGGTTTAGTCCTGGTTTAGTCCTGGTTTTTAGACCTGGTTTACTCCTGTGTTAGTCTGTTTAGTCCTGGTTTTAGACCTGTTTAGTCCTGGTTTTAGTCCTGGTTTTAGACCTGGTTTAGTCTGGTTTCCTGTTTAGTCTGGTTTAGTCCTGGTTTTAGTCCTGGTTTTAGACCTGGTTTACCGTGTTAGTCCTGGTTTAGTCCTGGTTTTAGACCTGGTTTAGTCCTGGGTTTAGTTCTGGTTTAGTCCTGGTTTTAGACCTGGTTTACTCCTGTCTTTAGTTCTGGTTTAGTCCTGGTGTTAGTTTTGGTTTAGTCCTGGCTTAGACCTGGCTTAGTCCTGTTTTTAGTTCTGACTTTAGTTCTGGCTTTAGTTCTGGTTTAGTCTTGGTTTTAGTTCTTTCACCTTTAGTTCAATAAATAAATAAATAAATAAATAAATAAATAAATTAAAGTAGAGATTGACAATTCCAGTGCTGCAAATTACCGACATGATTCTAGTGAAGGCGTACGGAGTTTAAAAACACAGTGGAGCTCTCCCTGTACCACTTCATGACATCACAAGTCACGAGTTTTTTTCAGTTTGAGAGAAGAACTCGGCCTAAATACGCATGATTCGTGAGTTAAACGTGTGTGAAAGCGGCAAAACACAACTCCAGGCGTGTTTGTGATGAGGAAACGACATTATAACAGATCAGAAAATAGAGTAACACGGGCCCTTTAAATAATTTATGCTTCAAATCTCATATTAAATTTGACTCAGCAGACAGTAGCGTTGGTTTTTCTTACCTCCGTCCCCCTCACCTGCTCCAGTCGTGTTTCCATTTTGCTGCTACACGGCTTTTTCCAGGTTTTCTGTCGAGGAAAAGCTCTTTACAAAGCCCATTTATTATTGATACTCAGTGATATTGAGGCCGGCAGTGCTGTAAGCTGTACTCAGATGTAGTTTGATTCAGGATTGGTCCAAAGAGCTCCATTCAACTCTCTGTGATGGCTTTTTTCTGGTGCCTGGGGGTTAGAAGGATCAACAACAATGGTCACAGACACAAAAGGATGAACTCATGCATTATTTGGGTTTCTGTGCTATTTTTGGACGCATTAACTGTAGTTTTTCACGTTGTTTTTTTTGCCAGAAATGGACATAAATTGGCAGTTTTCAGATTCGGATTTTCAGTTGAGATCACCCGGATTTCTCTGTTGATTATACTGTAGTCAGCCATGAAATATTCAGAAAGTAACTGTACAAATAAATGTTGAATCTGGTTATTTCTACCAGTTCTTCTCTCAAAAACATTCTGGAAAACACTCTCTTCCACCTTGTGATGTCATGTATGGGAAGTACAGGTGTAACAATATCTAAATCTCATGGCGCGATATTTTCACGATATACATCTCACGGTATATTTATTGTGATATTTTATGGAGGCTGACAAAATTGTGAATATGCCACTTTTTCCTCATAAAATGCCTTGACAAGACTTAATTCCAGATTTGGGGACTTGGAAGTCGTGACTTGGACTCGAGACTTGAGTCACTATTTAGGACTTGAAACTTGACTTAAAGGTTGTATAGAGGATTTTCCAAGGAACGAGAAATCCAGCGACTGTTTGTCCTTTTTCAAATGTTGCGCATGCGTGAAACCACCCCCCCTCCCCTACAGCTCCTACGTAGAAACGCCTCCTCCCGCCTCCTCCTTACGCCAGAAACAGGTTTGTTTACAGCCGGTGCTGCACATGACTTGTAAACAACTAACTACAGTGTTGGTTAGGCAAGACGGAGAAGTGAGGAGCGGGGGGAGGGGTGTGCGGACATTTCGTGCGCGGACGAGAAGTGAGGAGCAGGGAGAGAGGAGAGAGGAGAGGGAGAGGTGCGCGGAGATTCTGTGCCCGGAGAAGTGAGGAGCAGGGGGAAGAGCGGAACGGGCAGCGGGGACAGGAGCAGGAAAGGGGTGCAGAGAAGGTTGCGCGGAGATTCAGTGCGAATGAACTAGCTACAACACGCAGCAGCAAGCGGACTCTTTCTTTGCCTTGAAAATGACGTTTTCAGACATAGGATATCGCTTTCGTGTCCTGAAAAACGTTTGTCTCGCTCTTGGAAATAAAGTACGTTTTCATAATAAGCAGAAGTTTCCTGTCCAGGAGTAATTTGGGACCAGTGCGTCAGTCTTTAGACCCCTGCGTCTGCTTCAGTTGCGCCATTGCTGGAATGAATCTACAAGAATCACCTTAGTTTGGCTTCGCTGCTTTTCCCCTTGTCTTCTTCTTTCAGCGACCTCAAAAAACGGACTTTCTTTTGCGGCGAACTGCTCCTGGATTCTTGTCGCCATTGCAACAAACTTTGTGCGAACTGCGAGGAAGATATAGGTCAAAAAAGCCGCTAAGAACTGTTGCGTTTGGTGGAGTAAACAGCGTCTGTGCGTCTTGCGTCTGTGGACTGCGTGACAGTCGTACGTAAACCACGTAACCAGCGGCGCAGGCAAGTCAGTTACACTAGAAACGTAGGGAGTTTGATTGACAGCCTGTCAGCTCACAGATAACGAGGCAGTGTCGTTATCTATTGGCAAATGTTTAGCCCCACCACGTCCAGAGTTGATGAATTTTTATTGTCTTTTTTTTGGTCATCATAATTACAAGGCTACTGCACCTCTATAATCTATCATTGACAATTTGAAACAAAAAAAATCCTCCATACAACCTTTAATAAATGGACCAAGACTCTGAACTCAACTTGGGAAGTCTTAAAAAGCAAAAAAATGCATTTCAGTAACTCTTATATACTCTACAAATACTCATATTTAAATATACCATGACTTTATAAGTAAAATTTAGTTTAAAATTCATATAAATTGCAAAAATCTAAGCCTATATTTGGTCCTTTGGTTTAAAGCAGGGGTGTCAAACATACGGCCCGGGGGTCAGATCCGGCCCTCCAAGACCTTTAATGTGGCCCTCGGCTGACTTTCTACTAAAATATTTTAATTATATTTTCTATTTTAATACTGGTAATTTTCTGCGGTGTTTATCACAGCAGCGTCTCCAGTGTCTCTGTACGTGGCCCCTCCCACCAGAGCAGCACAAATGAAGACTTGTCTCTTTCCAAACGCTCTTAAAGGACGATCGTTTTGACTGTTGACCGTGACACCCTCATCAGAAAAATGTCAAAAATGAGAAAAGTGGAGCTGAGTGCAGGATTTTCCTAGAAAAATGTACTTATTCCTATTTGCATCCAAGTTCATATTAAAACATTGTGTTGAAAATGCATTTTTCTGAAAGTTTTAGGTTGTTCATAATATTATAATGTTTTGCAAAAGAAAGAGTTCATCAATTAAAAAAAGATTTCTGTAATAGATTTGCATTTCTCTCCACAAATATTTGAACTTATTGCTATTTTTGGGTTTATATGACATGAGTTTTCAGATTCGGCCTCTTTGGGATCAAAGTAGGTTGGATACGGCCCCCGGACCAAAATGAGTTTGACACCCCTGGTTTAAAGACTTGAAATGACTTGAAGCTCAAAGCAGACGACTTGGACTTGACTTGGACTTACGGGCCAGTGACTCGAGACTCGACTTGGACTTGCCTGTATTTGACTTGGGACTTGACTCGGACTTGAGGTCGAAGACTTGAGACTTACTTGAGACTCGGAAAACAACAACTTGGTCCCACCTCCGCTTAATCCAAAGAAATAAGATTTAAAACTGCTGAGAACTGCTATTTCTTCATGTAGTTTGCACCAAAACGGAGCAAAGGATCATGGTCTATGTAGTTCCTTGTGTTTCTTTAGCTATTGCTGCACCATAACAATGAATTTAAGCAAAGAAACTTGTAATTCAATATATTGTGATGGTCCACGATATTATTGAGAGACTTTTGACAATACAATATCACAATATTTTGGTTATTGTTACACCCCTAATGGGGAAGTGCTCCACTGTGTTTTTAAACTCCATACACCTTGAAAACTACAACTACACAAGTTGGGCCAAAGCATTTTGAGCTTCTATTCTAATCTGTCTATTAATGCAAGAAACGTCTGTGTGTTTGTTAGTTTGTTTGTTTGTCTGTTCCACGCATAACTCTCAAACCGCTCATCCGACCGTTCTTAAATTTGGAGGGTGTCATCGTAATGGGACGGGTGTGTGCAGTGACAATTTTCATGTTGTTAGGACAAAAAATGCCAAAGATCTGGTGTGTGATAATGTATGGTTCACCCTGTCCAGGAACTACAGGTGGAAATTAGAATCTTCTGCTATAACTTGGAATAATCCATCTTTTGTTTTGGTTAATGTTGATTGTACTGCCCCTGTATAATAAAAACATAACATACTAAGAGAAGTGGAACATAATGTGACTTCAGTGTAGAAAAATTTGAAATTGATTTGATAGAATAGGTAAAAACAGCAGTGCTTTTTCACACGTTTATTATATCATACTAAAGTCTTGTTTCTTTGTTGTGTTTTTGTTTTTTTTCCAGAGTATATTTGCCCAGTTCCAGTTCAGCAGTGAGCGGGTGCTGCCCTCTGACCTCCTGCGCTCGGCTTTGGCCAAAACCTTCAAAGACGAGCAGCGCTTTCAGCTCGGGATCATGGACGACGCCGCAGAGTGCTTCGTGAGTCACGCTTTAATCTGGTCCGAACACAGGGCTGAGCTGCAGGGGTGTGGTCTAAACTAAAGACACGTCCACTAGGGATGCACCAGTCCAGCTTTTTCAACTTCGATACTGATTCCAATACTGTCGCTTTAAAGGTTGTATGGAGGATTTTTTTTGTTTCAAATTGTCAATGATAGATTATAGAGATGCAGTAGCCTTGTAATTATGATGACCAAAAAAAAGACAATAAAAATTCATCAACTCTGGACGTGGTGGGGCTAAACATTTGCCAATAGATAACGACACTGCCTCGTTATCTGTGAGCTGACAGGCTGTCAATCAAACTCCCTACGTTTCTAGTGTAACTGACTTGCCTGCGCCGCCGGTATGTGGTTTACGTACGACTGTCATGCAGTCCACAGACGCAAGCCGCACAGACGCTGTTTTCTCCACCAACGCAACAGTTCTTAGCGGCTTTTTTTGACCTATATCTTCCTCGCAGTTCGCACAAAGTTTGTTGCAATGGCGACAAGAATCCAGGAGCAGTTCGCCGCAAAAGAAAGTGTCCTTTTTGAGGTCACTGAAAGAAGAAGACAAGGGGAAAAGCAGCGAAGCCAAACTAAGGTGATTCTTATAGATTCATTCCAGCGATGGCGCGACTGAAGCAGACGCAGGGTCTAAAGACTGACGCACTGGTCCACAAATTACTCCTGGACAGGAAACTTCTGTTTATTATGAAAACGTACTTTATTTCCAAGAGCTACAGAAATGTTTTTCAGGACACGAAAGCGATATCCTATGTCTGAAAACGTAATTTTCAATGCAAAGAAAGAGTCTGCTTGCTGCTGCGTGTTGTAGCTAGTTCATTCGCACTGAATCTCCGCGCAACCTTCTCTGCACCCCTTTCCTGCTCCTCTCCCCGCTGCCCGATCTGCTCTTCTCCCTGCTCCTCACTTCTCGTCCGCGAACGAAATATCCGCACACCTGCTCCCCCCGCTCCTCACTTGCCTAACCAACACTGTAGTTAGTTGTTTACAAGTCATGTGCACCGGCTGTAAACAAACCTGTTTCTGGCGTAAGGAGGAGGAGGTGTTTCTACGTAGGAGCTGTAGGGGAGGGGGGGTGGTTTCACGCATGCGCAACATTTGAAAAAGGACAAACAGTCGCTGGATTTCTCGTTCCTTGGAAAATCCTCTATACAACCTTTAAGTATTTGCCATTACCCGATATCACCTGATACCAGTGCAGAATCTAAAAACAGCATTTTATTTCCTTTAAACTATAATAAAATGAAACAAAACTGATCCAAATGCGTTATGTAGCTGTTATTTAACTCTGAGGTAACCATGGAAAAGTTTTGTATAATTAAAAGTTTAAACATTGTGGGACTTTCTAGGCCAGTAAATAATCTTATTACATTAATTTATATGTCCAACCAGGATATTGACTAAACCGATATTAGGAAGCCAATATCTGAACCAGCAAATATTTCAGTATCGGCTCCGACTAGAAAGACGGCATTAAAAATCTCTCAAAAGTGTTATCTATGTATCTGAATCAAAATTCAACTCTCACTTACAATTTAACAAGACTACACCTGCACAGGAGTTTGCCTTTTTGACTATACAGTATAAAATACAGTTTATATACTTAAGTTGCACTTTTTCTGAGAAATTTATTTTATAAGTTATAGTAGTTCTAGTAAAAACAATAGAACAGAGAACAACAGACTGTTAACTATTTCTTTCCCACTACAGTTGTGGAGATTACAATAAATGTTTCTGTACACACACTGAAATCTTAATAAGCATTAATAAGTGTTTAATTAATAGCTAAGTCACAGCAAATTATCATACCAGTTGGCACTTATTTAGCGATTAATATGTGGTCTCTAAACTAAAGTGTCACCAAATTTTTTATTGTGCAAAAATACATTTAACTTTTGTTTATTTACACTAACAGAGGAGACGCTGAACTTTGCCAGTTTTTCTTTCATGTGGATAGGCCCAGCAATTACTGTATTTTTCTGACTATAAGTCGCTCTGGAGTCTAAATTTGGTGGAAATGTATTTTATAAAATCAGAGACCACGAGCCAAGGCAAGTTATAGTAACAACAGGCTGAAGAGGTTCTATTATGTTAACGTCACATATGAACAGTTCTCCAGATAAACTATAACATAAACAACAGAACAGAACAAGTTTAACAAACTCTCCATCTCACTACAAATCAATAAATCCATTCAATTCTTCATCCTCTGTGTCACTTCTGAGCAACTCCACGACCTCCGGAGGTAAACTGAGCGCCGCTTCCTCTTCTGTGTCGCTGTCGTCAGACTCAGCATCAGTTCCAGTTAGAATTATTCCGGCCTTTCTGAATCTTCGACAGGATGGTTTCAGTGTCACTGAAGTCCAGGCTTTGTTGATCCATCCAGTGACTTCAGGAAAGTTTCATGATGCATCCTCCGGTGTCACAAGTTTTTCACTCACTCTAAACTTTCTTTGTGCTGCTCAGTTACCGTTTTCAGCTGCAGATTTTGCTACTTTCAGCTTGTAATCTGCAAAATATGATTTTCTTTTTTAGGGGCATTTGTGTTCAGTTCTTCTCAGTCGTCTTTATAAGTTTGTTTAAATGAAGTGGTACAGAAGTAATGGTGCGATCGACTGACATGATACAGACAGGACAGAGGCTCTTTCTGCAGGAGACATGCGCAGTAGATCCAAGTGACAGTGGTACAGGAGGAACAGGAGCAGCAGATACTGACACACAAGACTAGAGCCTCTCGTGGCTGTCAGTGTGAACATTTTAATATATAAGTCGCAGGAAACACCCAAACCATGAAAAAAAGTGTGACTTATAGTCCGAAAAACACAGTAGTTTAATGTGGTACTGTGGAACATCCAAGCAACAAATTCTGCTGCTCAGTTACCGTTTTCAGCTGCAGATTTTGCAACTTTCAGCTTGTACTCTGCAAAATATGAGTTTCTTTATGAGCGCATTTGTGTTCCGTCTTCTCCGTCGTCAGAGGCTCTTTCTGCAGGAGACATGCGCAGTAGAGCGAAGTGACAGTGGTACAGGAGGAACAGGAGCAGCAGCCTAGAGCCTGTGTTTATTCCGGGTTTATTCCTGGTTTAGTCCAAACTACTTCACATTCTATATTCACATAATTTTAACTAAATGTCCACTTTTTGTTGTAAATTTTTGATTTTGTAAAATATGAATTGACGCACAAACAGGTAAATGAATAAAACTAGAAATTGGAATAGTTTTGAATGCAGAATTTCCAAAAGGTCGCCTAAAACTAAAACGTTGTCTTTAGAACGACTCCATACCCCATAGTAGTGTAATAAATTAGACTCATTTCATTCAATTGGTCACCCTTAAAAAGTCTCCCTCTCTTCCTCTGCTTTCTGTCCATCCCTCCTCTCCTCCTCTCCTCCTCTCCTCCACCCCCTCATCCACCCATCACCTGCAGACAGCCCTGGCATTTTAAACAGCTCCTCTTCATAAAAATGATCTCCTCTATTACCAAGAAAAACTCTCATCAGTCACACGTGTCCCACTCCCCGTCCTGCGCCTGCACTGCAAAAAAAAAAAAAACGCCGCCAGAGCTAAACTGACTTGGATTCAGATTTATTTTAGTCTTTTAGTCTTGGTTTGATTCATTAGATTTTTTGTTGCTGACTACTTTCAATTTGTTTTTCTAATTTCAAGATAAATTATGTTCATAGAGGATTTTTTTTTTAAACATTTTGTAGATTTGGTCGAGTCCTGTTCTAGTCCTGTTTTATTCCTGATTTTATCCAGACCTAGTCCTGGTTAAATCCGGGTTTGAGTCCTGATATGTGGACTTGGTTTAGTCCTGGTCTCGTCCTGGTTGTTTCATAGTATAGTCCTGGTTTGGTTCTGATTTAGTCATGGTTTAGTCCTAGTTTACTCATATGGCACTGTTTGTCCTGGTTTCTTTCTAATTTTGTCATGGTGTAGTCCTGGTTAAATCCGGGTTTGATCCCAGTTTAGGTCTGATGTAGACTTGGTTTAGTCCTGGTTTAGCTCTGATTTAGTCTTGGTTTAGTCCTGTTCTAGTCCCGCTTTATTCAGTTTTGTCATGGTGTAGTCCTGGTTAAACCCAGGTTTGATCCCAGTTAAGTCCTGATATGTAGATTTGGTTTAGTCCTGGTCTAGTCCTGGTCTCGTCCTAGTTTAGTCCTGGTTTAATCCTAGTTTAGTCCTGGTTTAATCCTAGATTGAGTCTTGGTTTAGGCCTACTTTAGACCTGTTCTAGTCCTGCTTTATTTAGTTTTGTCATGATGTAGTCCTGGCCTAGTCGTGGTTAAGTTTGGGATTGATCCCAGTTTAGTCCGGATGTAAACTTTGTTCATCTTGTTCAAGTCCTGGTTTAGGCCTCCTCATCTCGTGCTGATTTGGTACTGGTTTAATCCCAGTTTAGTCCTGATGTAGACCTGGTTTAGTCCAGGTGTTGTCCAAGGGTACTGTTCATCCTGGTTTATTCCTAGTTTTGTCATGGTGTAGTCCTGATTGAATCTGAGTTTGATCCCAGTCCTGGTTTAGTCCTGGTTTAGCTCTGGTTTAGTTTTGGTTTAATCCTGATTTAGTCCTGTTCTAGTCCTGCTTTATTCAATTTTATTCAGTTTAGTCCTGATGTAGACCTGGTTTAGTCCCTGTTTATTCCTGATCTAGTCCTAGTTTAGTCCCAGTTTAGTTTTGTTTTGGTTCATGTTTGAATCCAGTTCAGTCCAAAATTGGGTCTAAAGTGGGACTAAATTCAAAACTACACCAGACCTAAACCAGGACTCGACCAGAACTAGACCAGGACCAAACAAAGTCTATATCAGTACTAAATTGGACTCAAACCAGGCCCAAATCAGGAGTGAGTTAAGTCTTGGTCTAGTCCTGGTTAAGTCCCAATTTAAGTCCATACTTCTGAAGATTCTGAATTCTCTTTAGTCTTAATTCTAGTTTAGCTCTTCTTTTCCACTTTTTGCAGTGCTCTCGTCCGTCCCCGTGGCTCTCCGCCCTCTTCGTCGCCCCCTGTCTGTGCGTGCGTGTAGAGCGTGGGCTTGTGTGGGACCCGTGGGTGCTGTCTGATCGATTGGGTGTAAATGTGTTCAGTCAGGGAATCCGCCGGAGCTCTTATGAAATATAGATGCAGCTCCAACTCCACAGATTAGACCAGCCCACGCAGGCCACACGCGACGCCCCGTCTGCAGTCTGCATGAAGGAAACCACACGATTTAAGATCTTTTATGTCTCAAATCGATAAAATAAATTAATAAAAATAAGATTCGTAAATAAAATGTCAAATGTTTGGGAGATTTTGTTTAATCTGCAGCAGTGATGTGCAAAAAATTTTGATCTATTTGCCTTTTTTTCATGGAGGGTTATTCACCTTCTTGGCTCCGTGGAGATGTTTTTGCTTTGCTGGGAATGTTCCACAGTTTGGCTTTAAGCTTATCTTCATGGAGACAAGCAGGTGAAGCTACAGGTCAGATCTGTGGAGAGGCGAGTGCATTTTTATGCTAGGGTTTGTAAGGAATTTACCTTGAGAATCAACAAGTTTGTCTAAAGTGTAAAGGACAAACAATCTAAATAAATTTTAAAAATCTAAATAAAAAAAAAAAAAAATCGTTTTTTCAGTTTTAAATTTTGTGTTTAAATGAAGAAAGGAAAAAACGGATAACGACCGTTTCCCGTTTACGTGACTCCCATGACTGCAATGCCGGACTTTTGCACTGCATACAGACTGAACCAGGACTGATCCAGGTCCAGGACCAGAGCGGGACCAGACCGGGACCAGACCAGACAGGACTCCAGACCGGGACCAGACCGGACAGGACTGACCAGACCAAGACTGAGACCAGACCAAACCGACCAGGACTGAGACCGGACCAGACCGAGACTGAGATCAGAACTGAAACCGGGACCAGACCGAGGACCAGACCGGACCAGACAAGACTGAGATCAGAACTGAAACCGGGACCAGACCGAGACTGAGGCCAGACTGAAACCAGACCAGGACCAGGCCGGGCTGAGCGGGGAGACCAGGACTGAGACCGGACTGAGACCGGACTGAGACCGGGACTGAGACCGGAACTGAGACCGAGACCAAGACCGGACCAGACCAGAGGCTCAGAGCCCACGGCAGGGCCGGAGCTCGGAAGTCTGAGGTTCTGGACCCTCGGAGGCTCGGAGTGAAAGTCTCCGTCAGTTCACTGGTCTGGTCCCGGTCTGGTCCCGGTCGTCCCGGTCCTGGTCCTGGACCTGGTTCAGTCCTGGTTCAGTCTTTATGCAGCGCAAAAGTCCGGCATCTCAGTTTAAGTCATGAAAACAGGAAGTGGACTTTATCTGTTTTTTCCATTCTTCATTCAAACACAAAATCAAAAACTGCCAAAACTAATCATTATCCATTTTTTCATTTTGGTTTTGGAGACAAATAAGGAACAAAAGTGTTGTTTTTTTTGTTTTCTTATTTTTGGTTTTGTATTGAAAAACGAATGAACGAATGATACACGGATTTTTGTGTCTTCTTCTCTTGGTTTATTTTTGCCTGTTGTTGTTTTTGGTGTAGGAGAACCTGCTGATGCGTCTTCACTTCCACATCAGCGCAGAGAGCAGAGAGGACATCTGCACCGCCAAACACTGCATCCCACACCAGAAGTTCGCCATGATGCTTTTTGAACAGGTGGGACCCATTCAAAACTGCACTCATATACAAGAAAACCAAACAGCAAATGCCACAGGATACAGCTATATGAGAAAATAAGAAGCAAGAGGAGATGTTTTATATAACCGCGCATAACTTTCCAACCATAAAAGATAGAAACTTACTTTTTTTCCTTGATAAAAAAGCTTTCCGAGCATATTTCTGGGATTATCCTACGTCACACCCACGCTGCATGATGACGTAGTGAAAATGAGTGTCCAATAGGAAAGCTATTTTCCAAACGCATGTGCTCCATACATTTTAATTGGCCCAAACTTTGCCAAAGAGTGTAGTGAGTCAAGATAGTCGATTGCTCTAAGTGTCTGTGTTCGTAACAATTGAAAAATCTGCTCTAAGTGCAGTTATATCTCAAGTAAATGGCAAATTATGCATCTTGATCCCTTGCTATTTTTTATTTGAAACGTTTATTTCAGTCATAATGTACAAATCCAAATGTGATCAGCACCATGGAAATGCAGGAAGTGATGCGGCTCTGAGCTCTGAACCTGACACGAGCTGTTTCCATGACTGACACCAGGAAAGTAAAGGGGCAATTGCGTTTTTTTCCTTTTGGTTTTGAGGCAATAAGGATAAACAGGGTTCCCTCTCTTTTTCACTGACAAAATTCGAAAGCTTTTCCATGACTTTTTCATGATCTAAAGTGAATTTTCCATGACTTTACAGCACCTACATGTGTAGAATTGATCATATTTTTAGGGTTAAATATGAAATAAAACCCTTTCCACTCACATTGTGGTTTGGGATTATAGTTTTTTAACATTCAAAATACTGTCAGTGCATTTATTGTCGTCTCTTTTAAATAAAAGGCGCATATGTTTGGAAATGTATTTATTTATTTATTTATTTGTAAAGGGACAATGCACATTAATCAACATCAAAACAATGTAAATGTGCCCGAGTTCGCCGATAAGAGCTAATTTGCATCGGCAGTCAAAAAAGCATCTTAAAAGAAAATACTCTTAAAAGTTACACATAAAAAATTACAAAAAATGTACAATAAGATTGCAAATATACAATAAAAGTGTTCACACATTTGCGTTTCTAAAAGCCACTTTTATCATTCTAATAATCATGGTCACATGGTCACGTTTTTCTGTAGTGCTTTTCCACCTTCAAGGCTCAAAGCGCTTTACAACAAGGAACCACTCACCCATTCACACACCAGTGTACGCAGACACTGTTGGCAAGGTGGGTTAAGTGTCTTGCCCAAGGACACAACGGCAGCATTCATCTGTGGGAGCCGGAATCACATAGTCTAATGAGAATTTAACAGAACGCTGTAGCTGCGTGAAAGAGAGACTAAAATTCCACGGCTTTTCCAAAACTTTCATTGAATTTACACTATTCCATGACTTTTCCAGGCCTAGAAAATGACATTTTCAACTTCCATGACTTTTCCAGGATTTTCATGACCGTGGGAACCCTGCATAGACCCAAGTAGGTGACGGACCCCGACCAAAAAACGTTACACAATGCACCTTTAAGCTTAAAAACGTTGTATTTTCAGTTTGAGGAATCGTGTGTTGTTCTATATTACATCAGCGCTCAGAAAATCTACCACCACAGCCCTGTACACATTCACATTCTTCTTTTTTTTCCCCAATTTTAAGGCATCACATTTTGATACAGATAAATATAATCCACTGTTCTGTAGGCGGGACTGTCAGATGGGATCAATATTCTGGTTTAAAATGAACAAAATATGAAATTATCATCTACGTTTGTCATAGAATTATAACTAAATAAAACAAAAATCAGTTTCAGGTAGGAAAGGAAAATGGAAAGGTAGAAAAATCTCAATAAACCTAAGCTATGCACAAAATGAAGGAGCTTTTCTGGTGTGACACTGCGCCTCTGTGCCGCCATAAGGTTCCACAGCGCGGCTTTAAGCTCGAGCCTTCATCAGTGCTGCTCCCTGGTCCCTCTGTAGAGCCAGGCCATAAACCCAGACCAATAAAGTCAACTTCACTGGACATAAGGGCTCCATCACACGCTCTCTCCTCTGCTCCGGTCCCAGTTTTATTCATTTTAAAAGGAGCATAATGAGATAAAGCAACATTCTGGAGCTTTTAACATTGTTTAATACATATATATCGAGTAATGTTTGAGTGCAAAATTGCCAAAGCGCGTTCCTAGTTTGTGGATTTTCACAAATGCACTGACAATGGCAATAAAGCGTGTGTGTATGGCATTAAAGCTGCACTCTGTAACCTGCTTGTTTCCATGGAGATGTCATTGCTCTGCCTGAAATGCTCCACAGTATGACAATAAACAGATCTAACTTACATTTATTCAATTACAGGTGGTTTTATAGCTCAAAAATACCTAGAAAAACAGGGATTCTGACTGTGAGCGGGGTCGCCTTTCCGCAGATCTGGCCTGTAACTTGGCCTGGTTTGATCTCCATCAAGTATGTTCCACAAATGTTCCATATTACGCTCCTCAAACTTGCCTTATTGATCTAGAGGTGTACAGTCATTTCAGTTGACAACGATCCTGTCTTTAGGGTTGAATGAATAATGGGACCACTTTATGAATTTTTGGAAACACTTTAGTTTAGGGACCACATATTAATAGCTAGTTAACAGTAAAATCCATAATAAGTGGATAATTACATACTTGTTACTATTTAAAAAGTACTTTCAATGCATTTGGGTCAAGTGGTAACAGAGGGAAACAGGGGCAGATTTTTTACATTCAAATGTCTCTTATTCAGAAACTAGAGGGACTATTGAAATAAGTAAAGTATCAGAATGTAGGAAAGTAACAGAGGGAATGAAATATGCAGCACTTTTTGGGCAATAAATACAAACAGTGATAACTCTTGGTTCTCACTTACATATCCTTAACAAACTGGTTTGAATATTTGCTTCATATAGTTTTCTACCATATGGTACAAGATTAGGTTGAAAAACCTCTTACTTTTTGAGTAATGAGATTTTTGATTTTTTATTCATGGTAACGGAGGGAAAATTGTGCAAGCAAGTAGAAGGTGCATGATTTTGTATAATTTGTCACTTTTTTCTTCTGAATATTTTAATATTACTTCACAATGAAAGGAAACTATTTCTATAAAATATGTCAGTCCTTCCAAGCAAATTTTTATCATTTTAAATACATTTTTTTTTTGAAAAATCATGTACCTTCATCAACAGTTCAAAGATGGAATAACACAAGATATGATGAAATACATCAGTTTATTTACATGATTTGCAGGTCTTTGAAATTTGGGAAATAATTTTTGTTCCATGTTTCATACATGGTCTGTTTAAAATGTATGTAACTTTAGAACCAAAAATGGTACAGAAAAAAGGTCAACAGTTTGATAAACTAGAGTACATATGTATCTGTTCAATACATTTTTATATCAGATGAATTAACTTGAATTTTTGGCCTTGTTGTTTACTTCTGCTTGATCGAGCCCATTTTTGTCTAAGGTTGTAATTTGCTCATATTAAGCCATGAACTATTTTCTCAAATTACAGTAGTGGAGATTACAATAGATGTTTCTGTACACACACTGAAATCTTAATAAGCATTAATAAGTGTTTAATTAATAGCTAAGTAACAGCAAATTATCATACCAATTGGCACTTATTTAGTGATTAATATGTGGTCTCTAAACTAAAGTGTCACCAAATTTTTTATTGTGTAAAAATACATTTAACTTTTGTTTATTTATACTAACAGAGAAGAGGCTGAACTTTGCCAGTTTTTGTTTCATGTGGATAGGCCGAGCAATTACTGTATTTTTCTGACTATAAGTCGCAGCAGCCAAAAAATTAGCGATGAAGAAGAAGAAAAAAACAAATTGCACCGGATTATCAGTCGCAGTTTTTTGGGAAAATGTATTTTATAAAATCAGAGACCAGGAACCGACATTTCATCTTGAAAGTCAAGTTCTAACAATAGAACAACAGACTGTTAATATCACATATGAACAGTTCTTCAGATAAACTATAACATAAAGAACCGAACAGAACAAGTTTAACAAACTCTCCATCTCACTCCAAATCACTAAATCCATTCAATTCTTCATCCTCGGTGTCACTTCTGAGCAACTCCACGACCTCCGGAGGTAAACAGAGCACCACTTCCTCTTCTGTGTCGCTGTTGTCAGACTCAGCATCAGTTCCAGTTAGAATTATTCCGGCCTTTCTGAATCATGACAGGATGGTTTTCGTTGTCACTGAAGTCCAGGCTTTGTTGATCCATCCAGCGACTTCCAGGAAAGTTTCATGTCTCAGGTGCATCCTCCTGGTTGCCATGGAGCTGTGTTCTCCATCCCCTCTTTCTGCCAGTCCCTCACAAGTTTCTTGCTCACTCTAAACTTTCTTACCGCTGCTCAATTACCATTTTAGGCTGCATGTTTCACTACTTGCAGAAGGACAACGGCTTTTTCTGCAGGAGACATGCGCAATAGAGTGAAGTGACAGTGGTACAGGAGTAAGAGGAGCAGCAGATACTGACACACAAGCCTCGAGCGCCCTCTTGAGGCTGTCAGTGTAAACATTTTAATATATAAGTCTCACCGGAAACACTCAAACCATGAAAAAAGTGCATCTTACAGTCCGAAAATTAAGGTACAGAGATATGAACCACAAACCAGGTCAACCAATCTGCAGTCTTACAATTAAACAGCAAATCCTACCGCAGGAGTCTGACCTGTCCTCCCGATCTGAGAATGTCGCGTTGTCACGTTAACCCGCCTATTAACACGTGTTGTTTTGTTTTGTTTTGTTTTGCAGTGCGTGTGTACCAGCTGTGGAGCCACGTCCGACCCCCTGCCCTTCATTCAGATGGTCCACTACATCTCCACCACGTCTCTATGGTGCGTGCCGTGCTCCCGTAGTACACAAACGCAGTACTCGCACACGCAGCGTACACACACACACGCGCACACACACACGCGCGCGCACACACACAGGAGCAGTAGAAGTAGCCCGTGGCGGTATCTGGACGGTCCTACAGAAGGTACAGCATGTTCCCTGATCCTGTGCCTGGAGCTGAGTCTGTCTCCGCCTCATACATATGCAGGTGGAGCGTCCCTAGAACTAATACACTGTAAAAGCACAACGTCAAACTAAACACCTTTATTTTATCTTTTTAACGTACTAGCTCAAAAAAAACTCTACATTTAAGTATAATGAGGAGTTAGAATAAATGAAACCAATCTCCTGTCCTGTTGCAAGGTAAGATATGAGACTTAAAGGGCCCATATTACCCTCTTTTCTGATCTATGTTATAATTTTGTTTCCTCATCACAAACAGACTTGGAGTTTTGTTTAATTTACTCATGTTTAACACACAAACCCTGCATTTTTAGACTGAGTTCTTCAGAAAAAAGTGGAGCAGAGCGTTTTGAGTTTTGGAGATATACACAGACTAATAATTAAAGGTTATTCAAACATGTGTGAATGAAACAAAACCCAACTCCAGGTCTGTTTATGAGAAGGTGACAGCATTATGACATGGCTAAAAGCTCTCGAGAGTCAATTTAGTGTAATATAGGACCTAAAAAACTAAAATTATGATTGAAAAATACCCCAAAACAGGACAACTTTTGATCATTCCTAATGAGTTGAACAATGTGTCTTGATCTTTATAAAAAACTAAACGGTAAAATTCAAACAACTGTAATTATTTGTGATGATAATGGCTTTCTATAAAATATGTATTTATTTATATATATATTTAAATTAGGGGTGTCAAATTATCGCGTTAATTGCGATTAATTAATTACAGTCATATTTAGCGCGTTATGTTTTTTAATCGCGTTAATCTCATTTTTAATCTCTAACTTTAGTGTTTCTGTATGTGAGTTGCTTTATTATAAAACCTGTTTTTATGTGTTGTTGGGACAACAACACACACACACATTTATACATTTATAAATTTTTTTATTTCGGTAATTCCACTCATTGCCGGAAAGCCACACAAAACACGCGCAGTAAGAGCGATGTAAACATTATGGTAACGTTGACGGCGTCAGTCGCACAATGGACGAGGTCGAAGAGCCAGTAGAACAGAGTCAGCAGTGCACAGGTAAAAACACATTCGTGTCTTGGAAATTATTCTCCCGACGTGAAATATAAAAGAAAATAACAAATATAATATCGCCTGAAAACAACCTGCATAGGACTCATGATGTCTGCACTACTGTCCTATAGTGACCTGCCACATGAGGGGACACGCACACAACACACACACACACACACAAACACACACACACACACACACACACACACACACACACACACAAACACACACCTTCATCATCGTCATTAACCTGAGAACGCGCGGACCACGTTTCCTTTCGTAGTTACTGCGTGGACACCGACGTGCTCCCGTGAGCCGCGTGTGGATCGTGTTTTCTCGCGTACGTAAACCGCGCTTCCTCCTGTGCCTCTAAACCAGAACTAACACCAAGACTAAAACCAGGACTAAACCAGGTCTAAACCAGGACTAAACCAGGACTAAACCAGGTCTAAACCATTACTAAACCAGAACTAAAACCAGGAACTAAAACCAGGTCTAAACCAGGACTAAACCAGAACTAACACCAGGACTAAAACCAGGATTAATCCATTCCAGGACTAAAGTAGGTCTAAACCAGGTCTAAACCAGGTCTAAACCAGGACTAAAACCAGTGATCTCATATATAAAGCATTTCTCTATCAATAATATTTTTAATATGGTTAAGGAAAGACTGGACTTTTTATTGTCTTTAAGTAGACAAAAGTTATTATGTTCAGATTTCCTCGTCTTTGCTACTTTACAGCAAACAGTTTCTTATTCATGGAGACTTGGGCTCAACAGCCAATTTGGAGAGATTTGTTAAACAATAAATGACTTTATAAAGTCACTTTTTTAAATCTATATCAGTCTTTTGATCTGCCACAATAATGTAATAATGAATTTAAATGAAAATACCTCAAATTGAAGCTTTTCTCAGCAATTTTTAGGTGAGATTAAAATGAGATTAATTAGATTAATTAATTACAGATCATAATTAATTAATCTCTCTTTTTTTTTTAATCGCATGACAGCACTAATTTAAATGCCTTTACACTTTTTTTTCAAAATAGATCCATAAGATTTGGACCAAAGATGCAAACACGAGCCACAACAGTATGACTACGCTCAGACTGCAGCCTGAAGTTAAGTTTTAATGTCTGAACGACACAGATCAGATTTTTTCAAATACGACCCAGGTCACTTGAACATGTGCTCCTAAAACCAATACATATCCGATCTTTTGACATGCGACTTCAGTCTGAACGGCCAGGTCACATTCATCCCACCTACACGTCACAAATGTAAACAAACGTTCTTCTTCTCAAACGAAAATTGTGTCTGAACTCCGTGTGAGTGAAGCAGTGACGCACAAAACAATCATCAACAATCATCAACCACCGTTCTTGGCTGCGACTTTGCACTCACACGTTCCTTTCTACGGGCGTTGCTGCCACCGCCCCACAAAATGACATGGCCAAAAACCTCGTCCTTCTCCGTCTCGATCTCCTCCTTAAAACAAATAAACTGTACCGTATTTTCCGCACTATTAGGCGCTCAGGATTATAAGGCGCACTGTTATTAAATGGTCTATTTTCAAACTTTTTTCACAAATAAACCGCACTGGACTTTAAAGGAAACACAACAGTGTGATGGGTGAGTGGTTTTGTTTGTTTGTGTCGTTCACGGTGACTCTGGGCTTCGTTCAGTTGTGGCGTGTAGGGAGGGTGCTGTCTGGGACCAACGGATTGTCGGCGTGTTCGCAGTGACTCAGTTGTTCAGTCGTGTCTAGAAGCGGCACATTGCGCTCGCTTTTTCGGTTCGTTCCTCCGTTCCGTTCCTCGACGGCGTGGAGTGATGAGTGTAGCTGCGAGTGTTTTTTTTCGCCGTGCGGTCGCTGTCTGCTCCGTGTGTGTTTGCGTGCGCTGCGGGTGGTGCGGCTTTGTAATTTACTGAAGTCGTACTGTGACACCCGAGTGGATTCGTGTATAGGGCGCTCTGGATTGTGGGGCGCGCGGTCATTTTTTGATGGGGTTGGAGGCTTTTGAGCGCGCCTAATATTCCGGAAAATACGGTACATGTTCTGGCAACAGCAACTTTAAAATCGCCAGGTGCTCAATGCTCACGTCCATGTTTAGGCGACTTCCGTAAACACTGAGACTGCTCGCTGTTTGTGACATTGTCGCATCCTCCAATGTGCATGAGGGACACTTTTGGGGCGTTTAAAGTTCACACTGGAGATCACATACAAGTCGCATTTAATTAGAAATGTGAACGACCTCGCAAAAAAATCGGATTTCACCAAAAAATCCGAATTGAGCCTTAAAGGTTGTATAGAGGATTTTCCAAGGAATGAGAAATCCAGCGACTGTTTGTCCTTTTTCAAATGTTGCGCATGCGTGAAACCACCCCCCCTCCCCTACAGCTCCTACGTAGAAACGCCTCCTCCCGCCTCCTCTTTACGCCAGAAACAGGTTTGTTTACAGCCGGTGCTGCACATGACTTGTAAACAACTAACTACAGTGTTGGTTAGGCAAGGTGGAGAAGTGAGGAGCGGGGGGAGCAGGTGCGCGGACATTTCGTTCGCGGACGAGAAGTGAGGAGCAGGGAGAGGAGAGAGGAGAGGGGAGCGGTGCGCGGAGATTCCGTGCCCGGAGAAGTGAGGAGCAGGGGGAAGAGCGGAACGGGGAGCGGGGACAGGAGCAGGAAAGGGGTGCAGAGAAGGTTGCGCGGAGATTCCGTGCGAATGAACTAACTACAACACGCAGCAGCAAGCGGACTCTTTCTTTGCCTTGAAAATTACGTTTTCAGACATAGGATATCACTTTCGTGTCCTGAAAAACGTTTGTCTCGCTCTTGGAAATAAAGTACGTTTTCATAATAAGCAGAAGTTTCCTGTCCAGGAGTAATTTGTGGACCAGTGCGTCAGTCTTTAGACCCTGTGTCTGCTTCAGTTGTGCCATCGCTGGAATGAATCTTCAAGAATCACCTTAGTTTGGCTTCACTGCTTTTCCCCTTGTCTTCTTCTTTCAGCGACCTCAAAAACGGACTTTCTTTTGCGGCGAACTGCTCCTGGATTCTTGTCGCCATTGCAACAAACTTTGTGCGAACTGCGAGGAAGATATAGGTCAAAAAAAGCCGCTAAGAACTGTTGCGTTGGTGGAGTAAACAGCGTCTGTGCGTCTTGCGTCTGTGGACTGCGTGACAGTCGTACGCAAACCACGTACCGGCGGCGCGCAGGCAAGTCAGTTACGCTAGAAACGTAGGGAGATTGATTGACAGCCTGTCAGCTCACAGATAACGAGGCAGTGTCGTTATCTATTGGCAAATGTTTAGCCCCACCACGTCCAGAGTTGATTAATTTTTATTCTCTTTTTTTTTGGTCATCATAATTACAAGGCTACTGCATCTCTATAATGCTATCATTGACAACTTGAAACAAAAAAAATCCTCCATACAACCTTTAAGCCCTGCAGTCTGAACGTAGCCTATGATAAGGAAATATCTGTTTTATCTTATTATTTATTGTCAATTATAATCGTAAAACATCGCACAGACACTTCTTAATCGTTTATACCTACTAGTCGAAGATTCGCAGTTTTATATTAAAGCGCTCTCTGTCCCTCTGAACGCTCCTGTTATTTTTTACAGTGCATCTCACACATATACGCATACGCACACACACGCACAGGCACATGCAGGTGAGGCGTTCGTGTGCCCTCCGCGCGGTTACGTAAAACCAAAATCCCACACCTCTTAAGTCAATGGAGTGAGGAACTGCAGGGAAGTAATCAATCAGCAGTTTAATTCAGTGCACCCAGGGGCCCGGACAAATCCATACAGTGTGAGAGCGGGAAATAACAGAGGAGGAGGTGTTCTGTTCCTACAGCAGAGGAGGAGCTACAACGGAAAGAGACGGAAAGAAAAAGTAAAGATAGGCCTGTGTGTTTACAGATGATTATAAAAATACACAATCGGTTATAGTAGATTCTAGGTGCTGTATGTATGTTTGTAATTTGAGTTAAAAATGACTTAATTTGGGAACTTTTTTAGACCTTTTTAGACTTCTGCAATATAATGTTCTTTACCTGGAGTTGTGTTTTGTTTCATTCACATGTTTAACACATAAATCCTGCATTTTTAGATGAGTAGAGTTCTTCTCTCAAACGGAAACGCTCTGTTCCACCTTGTGATGTCATGTGGTAATTCTGAAGGGTTTCCAATGTCTTTTTAAACTCCACACACCTTCACTAGAATCATTTGGATGATTTCAGACCAGGAATTGTCAAACTTTACTGAAAAAAGGGTCTAAAACTTAGCTGTTAACTTGAAAACTACCACTTCATGACATCACAAGGTGGAACAAAGCGTTTTGAGCTTTGGAGATGTAGACAGACTAATGATAAAGGATTAGTCAAAAAACAAAAACATAACTCCAGGTTTGTTTTTGACTGTTTAAAGAGTCAGTTTTGTCTAATAAAGGACCTTTAATGATACAGTGTGGAACATTCCTGGTCCAGAAAAGTTATGTAGTGCTACTTTATACGGTATTTTGTTTCATTATACTATTGCAAAATTGGACTTTTGCCTTGTTTACATAGCCTGATTCATCAGCCGGTTTCCACGAAGTGAAACTGGCAGATTAATAGCAAAACTCCAGGTCTGTTTATGAGAAGGTAACAGCATTCTAACATGGCTAAAAGCTCTCGAGAATCAATTTAGTGTAATATAGGACCTAAAAAACTTAAATTATTGTTCCTGAGTAGTTGGACAATGTGTCTTGATCTTTATGAAAACTAAAAAGTAAAATTCAAACAACTGTAATTATTTGTGATGGAAATTACTTTGTATAAAATAGAACAATATTTTTAAATAATCATGTTATGCAATTTGAGTAGTGATTTTTTTATTTTTTTTGTTAAACTTTTTTAGTATCATGACAATAAACTGTTAGCCTGATTCATCAGCCAGTTTCACTTTGTGGAAACCGTCTGACCTCGCAGCGTTAGGATACTTTCGCTCGACGGTAGGCGGGTATTTTTTTTTATTTAACCAATCGCTGCTGTTTGGTCGTGACGTATGTAATGCACCAAATCCCATAGGAAGAAGGGTAATAACGTCTTTCCCCTTGATAAAATTCACCAAACATTCTCTTTGTTCCGGCTTTAAATCCTCGATCTCGGGAATCGTTGCCAACACAGAATGTCTGTCTTCGTCTACATCCATCTCGACGCTTTGTTTACTGTTGTGCTGTTCCACAAAAGGGACCCAGACAGACGCTTGAGTTTGACGTCATGACTTCACAGCTTTTCACTGATTGTCCAGTGGGCGATCTACAACTTCCTGGGTTTCTACAAACCGTCTAGTGTAGTTTAATTCCTGACCTAGTCCCTGGAGAGAAATGAAACTGAGCGGAGGCACTAGGTGGTGTCAGCCTGACTATTGTTTAAGTACTTCACACATGAATCTTAAAAATGAAGAAGCGATGTACTGTACACTCCACACACGTGAACCTTTCTGTACGGGAATTGAACCAGGGACCTTCTTGCAACCGGGCGACTGTACCACTATGCCACAATAAGCTGTCATT